GCTAGTGGTAAACACATGATATTGCCCACTATTCAACTATTTTGGGTTGCTCTGATATCCGGATTGCTGCTGATTACCTTAGTCGGGTTGTGGATTATAACCTCCTTGGTTACCCGCATGTCCCTGACCGTGAAAACCGCCTCCACCTGAGCCGGCGCCCGGGCCATGAAAGCCGCCTCCACCTGAACCGCCACTAGGGCCGTGACTTCCATCAAATGCATTTGAATTCTTGAATGCCTTCATGATTGTACAGTCCTTCCACAGATGGGTGGTTGGCTTCTCCCGGGTGACGTGTCTTGGACAAGGTTCATTCAATAGTTGCTCAAGGGTGGGACCTGACCCACCCGACCAAGGGAGTTGCCTACCCTTGCGCCGTTGATTGTTGCCCTGCGCATTGGTGTTAGCCACAAATTCATCAGCCTTACGTTTATTACCTCCTTGATTTGCCGGGTTATGTTGGTGACCCTTGCCGTTGCCGTTCTTCTTTCCCTTCCCTGTCTTTTCTTCATCAGACACAGGGTTCTTGGTACTATCAGAATCAGCATACTTGACGAGAGCCGCCATCAACTGGCCCATGCCATTGCAGTCACGTTTAAGCCGCCCCAGCTTCTACTTCAGAGGTTCAAAACGGCAATTTTTCTCCAACATTAAGACTGCCGAGCCGGCGTCCATCTTATCAGATGAATGAATTATCTCCTTGACCTAGTGCACCCAATTGGTTGTGGACTCACCTTCCTCTTGCTTACAATTGGTCAGGTCCACGATTGACATAGCTTGTTTGCATGTGTCCTTGAAGTTCTGAATGAACCGGGCTTTTAACTCCACCCATGAGCCGATGGAATTGGGGGGCAACCCTTTTAGCCAAGTACGAGCCGTTCCATCCAACATCATGGTGAAATATTTAGCCATTGCCGCGTCGCTGACCTCCAACAGCTCCATGGCCATCTCATAACTTTTTCAATCCAGGCCCCAGGCTGTAAATCGGCCGTGTAATTAGGCACTTTACGAGGCCCCTTGAAATCCTTTTGCAAACGCTCATTACGTATGGCCGGAACCAGGCGGAACACCTGCGGTTCTTGTGGCCACTCCTGCCTCAACCGAGATTGCTGGATAAGCCGAAAACATTTGATGAGCCGCCTGTTCCGCCGCCAGTTGAAACGCTCGCTCAGCCTCTTGTCGGATCCTCTCCTGATCCGCCAAGTTAAGGGCTCTAGCCTGTCCCGGCTCATGCACGTGCGGCCGGTTGCGGCGTTGAACATTGCTTGACATGTCGGCTGAATCCATACGCCTACTGTAGCTTGGGCTCCGGCTCGGGTGAGGGGTTGAATGGATCCTGTCTCGACTGTAAGAGTACGCATCCTGCTGCGCCAGAGTTGTTTGAAGAAGTTCTCTCACCCTTCGTGTTTCGATTGCCGTCGGAGAGTCGCCCTCCATCGGGAGAGCCGCCAAATGAGCCGAAGCTGCAATGAGGTTTTCCAAGGGATTGGAGAAGTGACCCAGTGGTGTTGGTACATAATGAGGTGGAGTGGTATGTATACGAGGCGGTTCCATGGCGCGCGGCTGAACCGGCGCCCCGGGTGTCGTGATCCGATTTGCCTCTAGCGGGTTACTTGCCCCGGCCCCGAGCGTATGAAAAAGGTTCCTAGGATCAAGCGTTAGAGGTAGACGTGACTGAGTTTTCTGATGCCTTCTTCTCATGACCTTGTTTGACGCGTTCAGATCCACCGAGAGCCGGAAAGTCTCTGCCTGAAGCTGCTGAGCACGAGCGTCCAAAGCCGCCCTCTCCGCGGCCATCCTGACCTCCTCTGCTGCTAAATTTTCTTTAGCTTGTACCATCTCCTCACGTACGCGTGCCACCTCTGCATCATGCTGAGCTTGATTCGCTGGCTCTACCATGGCAGTCAACAGGATCATCAGTTTATCCATGAGGTCCATCAGAATCTGAGCCGGGGGCGCGCGGGGTCTCCTGACCCGGCTGCGGCCGACCCGGTGGTTGTTGCTGCCGCTACTGTGGAGTTCTGCCCCGGCTGTGTTCCTGCCATGAAGACTCTGGCCCAATTCGGCGGCTCAAGGGGGTCCGGAATACTGCTGCCATCGGAACAGCCCCCGAGCATGCCATCATGCAGCTGATACAAAGAGTCCGTCTCTCCCGTTGATGATGTGGCGTCAGAATAGACGGGCGTCTCACCACCATCCACCGATTCTTCAGAGTATTCACCACCGTGGACGCAGCCTACGAAGGCATGCTTCACGACAGATTGAACACGGGTGGACCTCGCGCGCTGAGCCGTTTCGATGAGGTTGGTGTGGATGTTCGTCTCAGGGCCCGATTCGCCGATCCGACCGATGAAGACATGAATTCCGCCGAAGGGGACCCGGTACCCGTACTCAATTGAGCCGGCCTCGGGGCCCCAACCTTCGTCGTCGATGTAGAGCTTGCCGCGATGACTATTGGTCATCCGGCCCACAGCGTATCCCTTGAGCCCTTCGAAGTTTCCCTTCAAGAACTCAAATCCACCGTGCGCTGGCCCCACGGTGGGCGCCAACTGTCGTGGATTGTCACGGCAGATGTCCTAGCAAAAGGACTTAGTCGTAGGGCCATCGCAACTAGGAAGCTTAAAGGGGTTAATCGGGACAAAGGACACAAGAGGTTTTATACTAGTTTGGCCCCTTACAATGAAGGTAAAAGTCTACGTCTAGTTGTGTTGGTATTGCTGGGGTTTTGATCACCAAGAGGCTAGTTCACCGGCTTGGTTATCGATCCCTTGTTTCTTTCCCTAAGCCGCCACCGGGTCGTCCCCTTATATACACGGGTTGACGCCTGGTGGCCTACAGAGTCCCTGCCGGCTCATAAATCGAGTCCGGCTTGGTGACTTCTTTTACATGCCTTTCTTTACAAGTCTTTCCTTACATACGGCGGTTTACAATATTGGGCCTTAAGCCGCCTCTAGGCCTTTAGGCCTTCTATAAGATTTAACAAACTATCGCCTTGAGTGTTTACTGGGCTTCCTTTGTGACCCGCCATTGGGTCTTGACCCGGCCCCTCCTGGGCGGGTCATAACTGATAGCTATATCCCCAACAGAACCCATGGCCTCGCACTCCCATTCGGGTGGACCAATGGCGTTCCGACAAAGCCGATCTACTGCCATGACACTCTCCCGGCCACTCCGACCCACTCCCAACTGGGCTAGTCCTGGGTGGCCCCGTGTCTACCAAAGACACAACGACCACCGTCGTGGCCAAACGTCCCTCACGAGGACAGGATCCATAATAATAACAACAACGGGCACACAAGGTTATGTCTGCTTACCGGGCCAGGGTACCGCACGCCCATAACCTTCCCTAGTTGGAGGCACCGGCGAGAGGCACGACAATAGACCTAGTTAGGACCTTCCCATAAAGGTAAGCGTGGTTGCACTGGTCAGTTCGATATGGTGGCACCATGACTCAGCCAACAGGTGTTCAAGTTCAATTTAATCCGGTTAAACTTGAATGCAAATATGCTGAGCCATGATAAAATAACATGATACAATTACAATGTATGAGCATGATATCAACATAAGCACGGGGGCAACATAACTAGCCACCATATCAACAATGAATCATCTCCAACTAAGCATGGCATAATGAAGAGCATGAATATTACTAGTACAACACTACTCATAGCATAACATGACCACTAGCATCAACAATAAACATCATGCAAGAACATATCAACAATGCCATCATGCAAGCATTTAACCAACTGGATGCAATGGAACATGCATAACAACGGTACCCGGGACAGACGGTAGTCATGCACCGAAGACCATTACCAACATCAACATATACTACTAGCAAGCATACGCATATGAAAAGAATACTAGCAACTAGCAGGGCATGACAACTAGGTGCATAACAACATAGCAAGAAAGTAAGCATGAATCCATAAGCATTACCGAAACAACTATAACCATATTTTAAGCAAGCAAACATTTAATAAATATTCAAGTTGAAAACCATGGCTACTGCATGACTATCATGCAAGTGGGTATTGTGGCTTGCCTAGGGTGATGGAGACTCCAGGAAGAAGTGCGGTGAAGCCGCGGAACGACACGTCGGACGGTACATTCTCGGAGGGGGCTGATTAGAGGCAAGGGCAAAATGGTCATTTTCACTGTGAGAACACCTAGTGAAAATTTTACCAAAAGATAGAACTCGACGATATGAAGAAGTGAGCGTTGGTTTCACCTCAAACGGAGTTACGGTTGAAAAGTTGTGAGGAGTTGAAGATCAGGGACCAATTTGTGAAGACTTTATCACCAGCAAGTCCCTCAAAGCTGAAAATAGAAAATGCCTTTCAGAGGAATACGTTTTCAGAACTGAGAAAACGTATTCGAGGCTGAAGTAGAACGAGAGTACGCTTTCCTTAGAGGAAAACATATTCTGGGAAATACTTCTCCACTTACGCTGAGCTGGCAAGGGGTGGGGCCGATCGGGTCGTCTCCTTCCTCTCGCTCCTGTGCTCCCGTGAGCAGAGGAGAGGAAGCAGGGGAGGGGCGGCAAGGGGGCCAGCCGGCTCCGGCCACCTCCGGCCATGGCGCGGCCACCGGAGGGGTACGGGGCGGTGCAGCGCCTCCTCCTGGAGCAGCAGCAGCGCTGGGGAGAGGCAGGGCGACGACGGCTCGTGGGGACAGGGACACAGGCGGCGGACTCCGGTGATGAGCCCGGCCAACTCCGGCCACCTCTGGTCAAGCTGAGGGAACCGGCGGGCTCGGGGGAGGGCCGCGCACCCATTCATAGGAGTAGAGGGCACCGGGGACGACTAGAATGGCCGCGGGGAGAGGATGGCAGAGAGGACCGAGGCGGTCGGGGCGGTGGTGGAACTCGGTGGTGCGGCCATCTCCGGTGAGGGGCGATGGGTGGGGCGGCTGAGTGGGATGAGGCGAACTCGGTGGACATCTCGGAACGGCGAGGGGAGGCTTGGGTTGGCCGGAACCATGCCGAGGCCGAGGCGGCCATGGCGAACTCCGGCGAAAAGAAGAAAGGGCCGAGGGCTCTAGTGGGCGAGGAGGCTTGGGGAGAGGCTGGTGAGGTGAGGAGGGACTCGGGGCACGCTTTAATAGCCGCGGGGAAGGCTCTGGATCTCACAAGCTAGCTCCCGACCAAGCTTTAATGGCAGGCAGAGGCAGGGCGTGGCACGGGCATGGTGTTTTCGAGACATTGATGGGGAACCATGACGAAGCACCGATGCACGGAGACGTAGTCGAGCACGGGCGAGCTCCTGGACAAGGTTTGAGGTCGAGAAGAGGAGGGAGGAGACGAGCATAGTGGCTGGAACAAGCCAGAGCACGCCTGCAGCCATGACGCAAGCGTGATCACCACGCGCACTGGCACAAGCGGCGCTCTTTGACGCGGCTAACCATGTCCAGTGTATGGACCTTGGTTCCCTTAGTCCAAATGAAGAAATAAATCGGTCTAGGGGCAAAGAAGAGATTTGCACTTAGCTTCAAAAGTAAATCGGTAAGAAGGTGTTTGTAACTTCTTGTGGTTAAACCAGCTAGGTAACGTGGTAACTAGTTTGTCTGATGATTATCACATACTAAGGTGATGCTGATCACCAAACATCAGACTAATAGGAGGCATTTAGATGAGGGTTGCAGTAGAAAGTGCAAATCTGGCCAGAATCAGGGATTTGGATGATGCACTCACATACTTGATCTCTGTGAGCTGAAATTTGGCAGAGAGGGGTTATATGAATCTTCTGTAAATATTTCATGCCATTTGGAAATACCAAAGTGGCACTTTCTTCACAAAGTTTCATTCTGGACAGAAACTTGGAAAATTTTCACAGGGCAATTGGATTAAATAATTGAGTTAAAACTTGGTGGAGGGAGTTTATATGGATACGAGAATGCCCTGGAATATTTTGAGCTGAAATGAAGCAATATAAAATATAGTTTCTTCACAAAATGAAAATCTGACCAGAAACTAAGATTTGGAGCTGGGCTCACATAGATGAGTTAAATGAGCTCATATTTGGAGGAGAGTCATTATTTGATAATAGGAAGGTCCTTGAAAAATTTCAATTCATTTGGATATGTCTAGCTTGTACTTCCTTCACAATCACTTCCCTCAGACAGGAATTTTGAAAAATTGCTCAGGAATATTTACTAGGAAAATTGAGTTGAATTTTCGCATGAGCCGATGATATGGACAGGAAAAGCTGTCCAAGAAGTTTTGGGTCAATCAAACAAATATAAATAGCACTTCCTTTGCAAAGTGTCATTTAGGACAGAATAGGAAAATAATTATTGGAGGATTATTTTTGAACATTACAATGAAATATTTTGACATATTTGAGCAATATAGGACCCAAAAAAATTTATGAGAATTATTTGGGAATTTTAGGAGTGACAGAAATATAGGTTGCTTCACAACCTAGGGTTTTAAGGGTTATTCCTTTATCAGAAAAGGAATATTCCCAACAAAAGAATTGTGGGTTAGGTCAAGGATGGAAATGGCATGATATTGGGATGATGATGAGGGTTACAAGCCACTATAAAACCTAGGAAGACATGATCTTCCCAAGTTTCAGAACCACATAGCCATGGAAAAGCAAAACAAAACCGGAAATCCAAGAAAAAGAAAAGGGCAAAAAATCCAGGCTGTTACAGAGAGAGAGAGAGAGGAAGCTATCTAGCTACTAACTACGGATCCGAAGGTCTACAAAGAACTACCCACGCATCGTCTAGATTGGATCTGGTGGTTCTGGACTCTACGGTGGCTAGATCAATATTTCGTCGACTCCCCTAGGGTTTTGGGAATATTGGGGTATTTATAGAGCAAAGAGGCGGTCCGGGGGGCACCCGAGGTGGGCACTGCTACCTCTTGAGCATGCATTGGTTTTCCCTTGAAGAGGAAAGAGTGATGCAGCAAAGTAGCGTAATTATTTCCCTTAGTTTTTGAGAACCAATGTATCAATCCAGTAGGATACTGCACGCAGGTCGCCTAGTACCTGCACAAACAATCAATAACCTTGCAACCAACATGATAAATGGGTTGTCAATCCCTTCACGGCCACTTGCAAAAGTGAGATCTGATAAAGATAATAAGATAAATATTTTTGGTATTTTTGTATAGATTGTAAAACAAAGATTGCAAAATGAATAGTAAACTAGAATTATAGATCGGAAACTTATATGATGTAAAGTAGACCCGGGGCCATAGGTTTCACTAGTGGCTTCTCTCATGATAGCATGTATTACGGTGGGTGAACAAATTACTGCCGAGTAATTGATAGAAAAGCGCATAGTTATGATGATATCTAAGGCAATGATCATGAATATAGGCATCACGTCTGCGTCAAGTAGACCAAAATGATTCTGCATGTACTACTATTACTCCACACATCGACCGCTATCCAGCATGCATCTAGAGTATTAAGTTCATAAGAACAGAGTAATGCATTGGGCAAGATGACATGATGTAGAGGGATAAACTCAAGCAATATGATATAAACCCTATCTTTTTATCCTCGATGGCAACAATACAATATGTGCCTTTCTGCCCCTGCTGTCACTGGGAAAGGACACCGCAAAATTGAACCCAAAGCTAAGCACTTCTCCCATTGCAAGAAAGATCAATCTAGTAGGCGAAACTAAACCGATAATTCAAAGAGACTTGCAAAGATATTGAATCATGCATATAAGAATTTAGAGAAGAACCAAATAATATTCATAGATAATCAAATTCATAAACCCACAATTCATCGGATCTCGGCAAACACACCGCAAAAGAGTATTACATCGAATAGATCTCCAAGAACATTGAGGAGAACTTTGTATTGAAGATCAAAGAGAGAGAAGAACACATCTAGCTAATAACTATGGACCCAAAGGTATGTGGTAAACTACTCACACATCATCAGAGAGGCTATGGTGTTGATATAGAAGCCCTCCGTGATCGATTCCCCCTCCGGCAGATCGCCGGAAAAGGCCCCCAGATGGGATCTCACGGGTACAAAATGTTGCAGCGGAGGAAACGTGGTTTCGTGGCTCCCCCGGATGTTTTCAGGGTATAAGAGTATATATATATGCGAAAGAAGTAGGTCGGTGGAGCTCCGTGGGGCCCACGAGGGTGGGGGCATGCCCCCTGCCTCGTGGAAGCTTCACGGACTTCCAGACTTGTACTCCAAGTCTCCAGGGTTGCATTTGTTCCCAGAAAGATCCTCGCGAAGGTTTCGTTCCGTTTGGATTCCGTTTGATATTCCTTTTCTGCGAAACACTGAAAGAGGCAAAAAACATCAATTTGCACCGGACCTTCGGTTAATAGGTTAGTCCCCAAAATAATATAAAGTGCATATTAAAGCCCATTAAACATCCAAAACAGATAATATAATAGCATGGAACAATAAAAAATTATAGATACGTTGGAGACGTATCAGGCACAACCCACCAGGGGGCGCCTGGGCCTCCTAGCGCGCCCTGGTGGGTTGTGCTCTCCTCGGAGCACCCCCAGGCGCAGCCATGGCCCATTATGTTCCTTCTGGTCCAAAAAAATCTCTGTAAAGTTTCATTGCGTTTGGACTCCGTTTGGTATTGATTTTCTGTGATGTAAAAAACATGGAAAAAATAGTAACTGACACTTGGGACTATGTCAATAGGTTAGTACCAAAAAATGATATGAAATGACTATAAAATGATTATAAAATATCCAAAATTGATAATATGACAGCATGGAACAATAAAAAATTATAGATACGTTGGAGACGTATCATCCATTCAAATCATCTTTCCACCATAGCCAAATCTGTGAGAGAGAGTTGAGTGTTGGGGAGACTATCATTTGAAGCACAAGAGCAAGGAGTTCACCATCAACACACCATCTATTACCTTTTGGAGAGTGGTGTCTCCTAGATTGGTTAGATGTCACTTGGGAGCCTCCGTCAAGATTGTGGAGTTGAACCAAGGAGTTTGTAAGGGCAAAGAGCTCGCCTACTTCATGAAGATCTACCCAAGTGAGGCAAGTCCTTCGTGGGCGATGGCCATGGTGGGATAGACAATGTTGCTTCTTTGTGGACCCTTCATGGGTGGAGCCCTCTGTGGACTCGCACAACCGTTACCCTTCGTGGGTTGAAGTCTCCATCAACGTGGATGTATGATAGCACCACCTATCGGAACCACGCCCAAAATCTCTGTGTCTAAATTGCGTTTGCCTTTCCAAACCCCTCCCTTTACCTTCATATGCAATATTTTATATTTCGCTGCTATACTCTTAGAATTGCATGTGTGGTTTGATTGCTTGACTCGTGCTAAGTTGCTAAATCTGCCAAGACTTAAAATTAGGAAAAGACTAGATTTTTATTTGGTCAAGTAATCTAATCACCCCCCTCTAGACCTACTTTCGATCCTACAAAACCTTATCTTTTTATCCTCGATGGAAACAATACAAGACGTGCCTTGCTGCCCCTACTGTCACTGGGGAAGGACACCGCAAGATTGAACCCAAAGCTAAGCACTTCTCCCATTGCAAGAAAAACCAATCTACTTGGCCAAACCAAACTGATAATTCGAAGAGAATTACAAAGATATCAAATCATGCATAGAAGAATTCAGAGAAGATTCAAATAATATTCATAGATAAGCTGACCATAAATCCACAATTCATTGGATCTCGACAAACACACCGTAAAAGAAGATTACATCGGATAGATCTCCAAGAACATCAAAGAGAACATGGTATTGAGAATCAAAGAGTGAGAAGAAGCCATCTAGCTACTAGCTAATGGACCCGTAGGTCTGTGGTAAACTACTCATGCTTCATCGGAAGGGCAATAGAGTTGATGTAGAAGCCCTCCGTGATTGAATCCCCCTCCGGCAGGATGCCAGAAAAGGCCCCTAGATGGGATCTCACGAGAACAGAAGATTGCGGCGGTGGAAAAGTGTTTTTGTGTATGCTTCTGGTGGTTTGGGAATATATGTGAATATATAGGAGGAGATCTAGGTCAGGGGGTCACCGAGGGGCCCACAAGGTAGGGGGCGCGCCCTACCCCCTTGGGCGCGCCTCGTGGCTCTTCTGACTTGCACTCCAAGTCTTCTGGGTGTCTTCTGGTCCAAGAAAAATCATCGCGAAGGTTTTATTCCGTTTGGACTCCGTTTGGTATTCCTTTTCTACGAAACTCAAAAATAAGGAAAAAACAAAAACTGGCATTGGGCTCTAGGTTAATAGGTTAGTCCCAAAAAATAATATAAAATAACATATTAATGCAATAAAACATCCAAAACAGATAATATAATAACATGGAACAATAAAAAATTGTAGATACGTTGGAGACGTATCAACCTTCATATGCAATGTTTTACTTTCCGCTGCTACACTCTTAGAATTGCATGTGTAGGTTGATTGCTTGACTTGTGCTAAATTGCTAAAATCTACCCACAACTAAAATTCGGAAAAGGTTATGTTTTTATTTGGTCAAGTAGTCTAATCACCCCCTCTAGACCTACTTTCGATCCTACAATAGCATCACCATCACCTTGTGCAGCCGGAACGCATCTACTACTTTGACCGTCTTGCTGGATCAAGAAGGTGAGGACGTCACCGAGCTGAACATGTGCTGAACGTGGAGGTGCCGCACGTTCGGTACTTGATTGGTTAGATCGCGAAGAAGTTCGACTACATCAACCGTGTTAATAAACACTTCTGCTTACGGTCTACGAGGGTACGTAAAGACACTCTCCCCTCTCATAGGTATGCATCTCCATGGATATATCTTGCATGTGCGTAGAAATTATTTTGTTTTCCATACAACGTTCCTCAACAGGAGTGTCCTTGACTTGAAGACGGTTCAGGGGCTAGTGATGGTATCCTGGACTAGGGGGTGCTTGCCACGGGCTCCCGAACATATGGGCTGGGCTGAGGACCCCCAAGATTATCAACCAGTAGGCCACGTTTGTCGGGTCCAAGAGCGTTAAGGTGGACATCTTCCAAATACTTGGCGCATACTCCAAGACTTAGAGGTCGTCTTCGTCACGATTACCCTTAGATGTAACCTACCTATGTGTAAATCCTAGGCACCCCTTGTATCTATATAAATCAAATGGCGAGGACCACATGCGACAACTCTCATACACCCTCAATCTTGTGGTAGATCAACATGTAACTTGTACCCCCTCCAAATCAATACTATCAAACATAATGCAGGGTATCATCTCTTCGAGAGAGTCCCAACCTGGGCAAATCATGTGTCTATGTTACCATCATGCCAAGCCTACCAGCTCGAGACCCCTTACTCGCGATCACGCCCCATCAACATTAATTTTCATGTGGTTGTCTTGAGGTGGCAGCCAACATTGTACATCTACTCGGGGAGTAGAAGTGGTATGAAGGACCTCCGGTTTAGGCAGAGACTTCAAATCCATCAGCTAATGAAGGAGCTGGTTTGGTGTGGGGTTTGAAAAATAGACTCATGAATCGTCTTCCGCCTCGCGTACCAAATAACTTTTTTATACAATAGTGATATTCTTTGTTTCACTTTTTATCTTTGGATTCTTATCTAATGGTCCAGAACGGAATCGTGGACGCAAGGAGTAATCTTTTTCTTACAAATTGGATTTATTTCGTACATTTATCTATGAGAAAATCCGGGGGTCACTAAAGAGTTACAACCATCATGGTGAATTACTCAGGTTTTTTATTTTTGAGATCTCGCACTCGGCTCTTTTTTAGGCTTTTTTTTATTTTGAGGAATTTTTAGGCTCTTATTGTCCATCTACGTTACACAAGCTCTTATCCGATAAAGCCCAAGTGACACGTGAAGAGTAAAAAGGCCGGCCCAATAGGCCCCAGGGGGTACGCGGAGGCCGCACTATCCTCCTCTTGTACGCCGCCCCAAATCATCCCGCCTCCTCCCTTCAAACTTCAAAACCCGAAAGGTGGTCGCCGCCTCCGCCGCAGCCGCCTCACCCGGATCCCGCCGGCGCTGGGGAGAGCTTTCCTCTTCGGCACAGATCTGAACGCGGACCGCTAGGGTTCCCGCCGCTGCATTCTCCCCTCGTATACCCTAGAGCCTGCCCGTCCTCCCCGAGCGCAGGGCCCCTCCCGCGCCTCGCTGCCCCACATCTCGCTCTTGGCGAAGCACTCCAGCGACGGCGGCCTGCCTCCTCCAGGACCGGCTGTCGACACATCCTCCCTCGCCGCCGGATCGACGGCAATCCAGTCTTTCTTGCTCGCTCCTCTTGGGCCTCGGCAGATCGACGCGGGCGGCGACCCTCTCGCCCGTCCCTCCCGACGCCGGCGAGTTCTTTGTCCTCACATTCCCCTAGATGCTCTCCTTCCTTGCACACCATGGCCGCCGAATGTGGGCTTTCTTGTTTTAAAGAAAAGAATTTGAGCTTTCTTTTTCAACAACTGGTGGTGCCCCCATTCTTTTGCAAGAACTCATGAATCTGATGGTATAGGTAATCTGATTTCTTTAGTCTGATTACAATATTTCCAAGAATCCTGTACTTGGGTTTAAAG